TTTTTTTTTTTTTTTTTGTCCAGGTTGGCAACATTATTGTTAACCATGTATGTTCAGATGTAACCTGCAGGTCAGTCAGCCCTCTGTCACAGCAAAGCAAAGGGGGAAAGTGGTTGATTTTCAGACTTCTGCAGAGGTAGATAAGATCAGAGGTTAAAAACTGTTTCACATGTAAGTATTGACCGATCGCCGGAAATAAAGAACATCTGGGCCAATTCAGATGGCCCAGAGCACCTCTAGTTACGATCAAAGTATACTCATATTTTAGAATTTTATCATCCAAGTCCAGACCTAAATCCAATTTAAAAAAACCTGTTACAAGATTTGATGTTCAAAGTTGCTCTTTATCCCAATCCATGTTTTGCCATTTTGCAAACAAAAGTTCAATTTAAGGTCTAGATGTGTAAAGGTTTAGGATTTGCTGCATAGCCAGGTGGTGTCACAAGTTGACTTGTGGGACTCGACACAAATGCACACCACACTTTTTAGATTATTTGTGAAAACTTTAAATCATGTCTTTTTTTTTTTTTGTTCAACTTCAGGTATCCTGTTTTTGTTTCTTCGTCACTTAATGTATATTATTGAGATTTAAAGTTTGAGGTTGTAATGCAATGTTTTAAAAATCGAGGGGTATTAAGACTTCTGCAAGGCAATAATATAATGTTTATCACAAGATAAAAATGGCTGTTGCCAACTTACAAAGAAAAATGTCTCAGCAGCATGCTGCAGAACTTCTTAGTTTAGATTTATATATTTAACAGAAATCTGTGAAATCACTACTCTGCATTTAAAAAAAAGTATAAATGGTTAAAGAGATGTTTTTGAAGTAAAGTAAGTTGCATTTTGTAATTGCCAAGTGGAATGCCAACTGAGGTATGCACAATGCTGGATAACATTAAGTATGATTAATTAACCAGATCTGCATTTCTTCTGTGGGCAGTGGTGGTGGGGTTCTCACTAAGTGCCTTATAATTCCTGGTGAAATTGCTTTTGGCATCGGGAACACCTCACAAATGGCTTACATGACTTCATGTTATCACCTGCGTCTGTTGAAAATTGAAAGTGAAAAGCAATTTGATACAAAGAGTCACCACAGAGTTTCCATATGTTGGTAAATTAATAAGCAGCAGGACACTGAGACTCTGCCAAGTCTCACAGAAATGACCAGTCATCTTCCTATGATTGCTCTTGATGTTGAATTATATTAATTACTACCCACCATCATAGCAGGGGTTCACAACATGTTTTCCTAGTGAGATCAGGTGTTGCGTCATCAGGGGAAAAGATGCTGGTTTTTAGGAAATCAGTCAAAGGTTTGTGCAACACACTGTTTCTCTGGGCAGTCATTCTGCACTTAGGTTGGTAGTTAAGATAAGACTATATTTAACAAACTTTTTTTTTTTTTTAAATCAGGGATGCACCCCCCAGGTCCACCGCTAGTCAGACCTGTACTCCCAAGGGAAAGGGGTGCGATGGACAGAGTCATTGAGTATCTTGTCGGAGACGGCCCTCAGAACAGGTGCGCAATATGTACTTAAACATACTAAAAATTGCTTGTTTTCTTTTGAATAAAATACGTTTTATAAAAGTATTCACAAAACTTCCTCACGTTTCCTGATCCGAGTTGATGGAAAGCTGGGTGAAGCTGACATAGTTATGCAGTTTTGAAAACTCGGGAATTGTAGTTTTTATATATTAATGTTTTTCTTTTTTCCCTTTGGTTTGTTTTTCAAATTTTGACAGTACAGACCCTAAAGAAGCAACATTTAATCCAATCATTGTATTCATTAGCAATTCCCTTCACGTTCTACCAATCTTGTACAACATTGCCATTTTCACAGAATTGCCTTTGCTCTCTTGTAGGTATGCTCTCATCTGCCAACAGTGTCTCTCCCATAACGGCATGGCATTAAAAGAAGAATTTGAATACATCGGTAAGACTTGGAGAATCAAAGCACTGTTTATCAGTCTCAATCAAAGGCCGGGCCTTCATTTGCCCTCTAACGTTTGGCAGCACAGTATATCACACGGCTCTTAAATGCCTCCGCTGCTACAAGCTCCTGTAAGCGAAAACAGAACACGATTGAATGCACAAAGTCGCATCAGTCTGGAATGTTTATGCATCTGAGGCAAATTTTGTCGGTGGTTAAAATTTATTTAGATTAATCTGTCTCTTTGGCAGTGTGTTAAAGTGTACGTATTAACTAGATGTATGGCACTTTTGTTTGTGTCGTTTCAGCCTTCCGATGTGCATATTGTTACTTCTTGAACCCTGCAAGAAAGACCAGACCTCAGGCTCCCAGACTCCCTGAGCTCGCTGCTGAACTAAAGATGGCAGCAGGCGATGCAGCGTCATCATCATCATCATCATCATCATCTGCTACTGGTGAAGGGGATCAGCCTCTTTCAGGTGATTAGAAAAAAAAAATCTGATTTATTTATTTATTTATTTTTTGGTTAAGTTCCAGAGTTTGGGTCAACAAAAGCGAGTCCTGACTAAAACTCTGACCCTTCTTTAAAAAAAGCTCAAAGCTGATCTACAAATTGTAAATGAAATCTGCTATGTTTTCAGGTGTATAGATAGGCAGTGCTGGAACGTTATTTTCGTAAAGCTGTGGTTTTGTACACTTTTGAAGCCATAAAGCTCCCACACACACAACTGTCCGAAAGTTGAAATTTCATAATTAAGTGTACCAATTGCCTACATTTCTTGTGACAAATTCCTTCATTTCCCAATATGCAAATGGATATTGGCAAGTTTGCAGAGCTAGCTGGACCTTTAACCCCAGTTCTTCTCCACCAGGGCAGCCGCCACACATCTGTTGCAGTACAAAGTAGCAGTCTGGCTGACTGGCTGCGCCGATTCTCAACCTCATCAGCTCGGTGGCGCTTACAAAACAATATACGAGTACAGTTTCTTACTAGGCAGTTTACTGTGCAACTTGGAGTACACCATCGTAAAAATGTACCTGTGCTCGTATGTCTGCTTTAAGCATGTGCGTACCTCCGCTGAGAGAAGTACACCCAAGTATTTGGGGGCCTTAAGACAAATGATGTGATTGGAATATTAGCAATATTAATCTGTTGTGCTCTCTTTCCTTTTTTATATACTTGTTTAGGATGCATTCACATGTAAAATGAAGCATTTGTCTAATTCTCAGGAAAACCCAAGCTTGCTGATGCCCCACTTGGAACTGATGCCCAGGAGCCAGGCACAATAACAACCACTGAGCCCGGTTCTGCATCAGACAGCCAAAACAACTCGGAGCCACATGACTCGCCTTCTGAGAAATCTGATGATGAGCAGGATATTTCTGCTATGGAAGTGGAATAAAATAGCAGGGTGGCGATTTCAGCATGCTCCACTGGAACAGGGTTTGTTTGAGGGAAGTAAACAAGTCAGTTTACAAGTAAATACCCTTCCAGTTACAGATACAATAATAGTCAAGCTCTTAAAACCTGCTGAACTCCTTGATGCTAAAAAGCTTTTAAAATTGTAGCAGAAGTAACAAGTTGTCTATGTAAAATAATAGAACGAAGGATTATGCCAGATCTGATGTTTTCAAAGTTGCATTTTATGTTTTTGGTTATTGTCTTATTCTGTTTGTGATAAACTGAACTTTTGGTGTTTTGTTTCAGTAAGCAGGAAATGGTACAAAGCATAAAGTATTTTGCAGGAAAAGTGTTATTTATGACATATTTATAGCCAATTTTCTTTTATAGCTGCACTTCTTGTTTACAGTGCTTACTGGGGTATTTGGCAGCCTATAGGTGGAAATATGTTTACACAGATACGGTACTGTTGACCCAATGCACATGCAGAACATTATGTATTTATCACTAAAAACAAGGAAAGTAGGCTTGTTACAACTGTACTCTTCTCCTAAGTGCCTATTTTATGTTTTTTTTTTTTGTTTGTTTTTTTGTCAATAAAATTAAATATTTTAATAGACAATGTTACCTACCTGTTTTTATTAGACTATCGATGTATAAATTCATGTGCTGTAGAAATTACACACAATAAATTTTTGAGAAAAACCTGTGTGAACTGGTTCCTGATTACAACACCTAGTTCAGATTGTGCTTTGATAAATTGACATGTTTAAGCTTGCAATTGTTAGGTTTGGGGAAAAAGGAATTTTTAATTATTATTCTAATAAAATTTTGTGTTAAATGCAGTCATTGGATTACATTTGATACCACTTTATACTGGAGACGACCCCCAGTATAACGTTACCACCCCCAAAACCTGACCAGAAACTACAAGGACAACTGTTGAAAAGGATAATGCATATCCAAAAGCACTAAAAGTGTTTTTGGTCTCCACTTCAAAGGTCTTGCTCTTGATGATTCCATTAAATAAGAAACTAAATCAAAATGACAACTAAGTTTCTTTAGACAAATCATTAAAAAACGTGGTGACGTCATCTTCCTACTACGTCCTGCCATCATCTTCGTGGTTTGCGCCAGTGGCAACATCCAGTTGCTGATCAAGTGAGTCGTTTCCACTGCAGTTTGGCGAAACAAACCAGTTTTGCTATGACTAACCCCCACCTCCCCCCAAAAAACAAAACAAAACTGCATCCTACACTAGTTGCATGCCAAATTTATAAAACAGATATTAGGCAAATAGATTTTTCATATTAAAAAAATAATCTTTTTTTTATATGATCCTCTGATTAAAGGCAAGTAAGAGTATCAGATGTTAAAAAGTATCCGATATTCTGATATTTCAAATGTGTCCTAAAAACACGTATCTTGGACATGTCAGTAAATTATTCAGCATTTGAACGTTGTTAGTCCATGAAAACATGAACATTTCCTCAGAGCCAATAGAATCCTAACCTGGACATTGCCTTCCTCTGCAACTCTGCTTGAGAAAAATTCTGGTTTTTAACGCGATCTGGATTTTCTTCCCTTGACTCGGATTATCTCATGTCGATTTTTGTCCGGGCCAATCAACGAACAGAAGGAGAAGTTATGAACAATGACGTCAATTTTCTGCGCTGTTTTAGACTGTAGGCAAATGCTAAAATTGCCAAAACAAGGGGCTAATTGGAATAGCGTTGGCCACAGCGATGACAGAAGGACAACAGATTACTGGAGCCAAGTGGATATTCTCTAATACGGATTATGACCATAAAACACCGAAGGTAAGACTGGATTCATGTTTTTGGCTTGATGAAATTACCCTTATTTTTCCTCTTTGTCGGCTGCTGGTTTAGTGAGTTTCCACTTAGAGCGGCGATTCCGATACACCAAGAAGAGCAGAAATTAAGGCACAAGCTATTAGCCATGGCTAAAGCAGTGTTGCACTAGCCTTGCTGTGTGTTTTTATGGCTATATGTTTATCATTTACGTATTATTATTATTATTTATCTGCTTGGTGTTGAAACCGGGTGTCGTGCATTTAGCTTTGCTTCTTGCTTGTGGTTGTGTCCACTTCAATTAAAATGTCGTCCCGCTCATGTCGTTAATCC